GAACTCGTGAAAAAGTATACATATATATCCATATATGACATACTACACAGGTTATGACTGTTGTTCTTGTTCTATGGTCACTAATCAGTTCATGACTTCTGTCATCAATCAGTTCATTGATTAATAATCAGTTCATTTATTATTAATCTGTTCATGTTGAAGAGCCGTGGATCCGCTCTGTTCACGGCCTTTTTCAGCTTCTCCTCTTTCCAGTTGAAAACCTTTCCGGGGCGTTCATGCAATCGGAACGCGTAAACTATGCAGTGCGCGTCTGTGCATGGTGCGCGTAATTACGCAACGCGTATTTACGCACATGGAGAGCTGAGTGACAAGATGTTTTTTGGGCAAGCGGACGCTTCTTATGGTGTTCGAATGGACCCAGTGAGGCGGAGACTACATCTGCTTCGCCCTTAACCCACCAGCGACAGCTCTTAAATGGCGAAGCCTATATGAAATAGAACGTCAGTTACGTACTGTAATCCCAGATTCTATGAGTATAGGCGTAGCCCTTTAAGCCTCGGGCCTCACTGGTTCCTAAATGGCTGAAGAAAAAAGCTATTTGGGAGCCGATTACCCGCTCTTAATGTAATTTATACGGACCGGGTGGGGCCCACACAACAGGTGGGTGTGGACTAAATTTTTTCAGTGTGATGCTTTGCATGACGGGATAAACCCACCAGCGACAGCCTTAAAGGGTGAAGCCTATACGAAATAGAACTATTTTTTTGTATTTAAATGTACCGGTACTATTTGTTATTCTATTTGTTCACCAATTATTAGAATTATTGTTGTTATAAAGTTCAGAACATAAACTTGAATTATTTGTCTTGCTTGACCCATCAAATTAAAAAAATTTAAAGCATGTAATGTAAAATAAGTGAGTGCATAAATATTTGACCCCCAAAAAGTGATTCTCCCAATTCAGTTCAAAGAAAAGATTATTGAAAAGGAACAGAATCAACAGGATTTCCATGACCCTAAACATCCCCAAGAGTTCTGATAAATCCATCATCAAGAGATGGAAGGAATGTGGAACAAGTGTAAATCTACCATTTAGGCCATGTGTGTCAAGCTCAAGGCCCAGGGGCCAAATGTGGCCCTCGTTAACATCTTATCTGGCCCTGAAGATGTTATTGTAGTAGTACATATACGAGATATATGCATACAATTTCACGAGTTCCTCATCTTTCTGACTGTGTAATGTCGTGCATTGAATTTTAACAGAAATGTAACGAGAGACGTTATTTATCTTTGACCCATCAAAATGAATGCGGCCATTTATTTTCAGAATCAAAGTTTAACATCAAACATTTACATTAATTTGGCAAAATATGAAAATAATAACAGACAAGTTTCACAGAAAATGAGCTTCAATCACGCGGCGGTGATTGAGGACTTTGCTTCAGATATTTCTAAAATATCTGTGCTGATTTTAAGAGAAAGCAGAGTTTAAGATGAAGTGGAGATTTATCTTACAGAGAGATATGTGAGGGAATTAATCTGTTATGACCAGAACGTGCACGCTCCATCAGATCTCAGCTTGCTTCCGGTACACTTTAGTCGAAGAAGAAACTGTTACCTGGTTGACGATGACTCAATGTCGGTATAGAATCCTTCAGACTTTTTCAGCGTCTCCGTTGAGAGCAGCTGAAATCCTTCGAGAGTCGTGCGTGGTGTTCAAACAGAAATTATAATTCCAAAACGTCTCTGGATCATCCTGAACGCGTCTGCATCCAAGAGCTCTAACTCCATCACTCTGTGCGCTCTCTAGTTGAACTCATTTCTGAGTGCAGCAACACAGCAACCAACAAACTCCAGCAACTCAGCGTCTCAGCTTCTTGCAACTCCTTCAACTCTCTGACTCCTTCAACTCTCTCAACTCCTAACATGAACTGGGAAGTTGCCACATTTTAAATGGGTCGACTTCCGGGTCATTTGAGAGCTTTTGATTGGTCGATGGACCAGGAATAGAGGTGTGGTGTATGATGTAAGATGTTATTAAAAATCAAGGATTGTTTAGTAACGAACAGAAAGATTATTGTAGGACTTCAGACTTCGTGGAGTCTCACACTTATAATCTTCTGAAAAAGTTTAAACATGACATCTTTTTCGGTAAACATTTTAGTTGACCGAAAACCGACCTTTAACATACTTACATTGCAGACAGAAAAATCAAGAAATGCATATTAACCTGATTTCTTCTTTGAATGAGGAATAAAAATCATTACTTACTGTTTATGTAAAATAAAAATGAGTAGTTCTCTTCAACCTGTAACATTGAGTGAACTAACACAATTTGATTATCAAACATTTGTAAAACAGTGATGATCATAAAAATTGTCTTTTCTGCTTGATTAATTCAAGAAAGAGAGTCACCAGATGGCTCAAACTGTATTCAGATCAATGAAATAACAGTCTCTGTCCATCTGATAGATTTGAGGTCATCAGGGTCAGATCAGGGTCAGATCAGGTTCACTACATTATTTTAAATGTAAAATACTTTAATAACTTTAACTTTTTTCAGTAATCTTTGATTATGATGTCAAAAATGCAACAGAGAATATCAAATGAGACCAATCAAACTTTTGTTGAGGAACCTGCAACCAAGAAAAGATGTTGGGTATCTAACTTGAGTTAATGTAGATTCTGAAACCCGTCCTTAGTTTGAAAAAGGTTTTAATTTTGGCCCCTTTGTAAGTGAGTTTGACGCCCCTGGTTTAGGCAGTCCTCTTAATGTAATTCATTCAACCTTTATTTCTACAGGTTAGTCTCATTGAGCCTCAAGGACTCATTTACGAGAGACCTGAGATAAACAAAGAACACAGATGAGGCCCAGACAACAGTAGACAATCATATAAAAGTATATAAAATTAAAAGTCAATAAAAGAAGTGATATCAAACAAAATCATTTACATTAAATCTCCATTAGCTAGAAAAATAACTCCTACAGACTGAAATAGCTTATTGTTATGAAATTTAAAGAGTTAGTTGATGTTGTTCCTGTCCAACACAATCAAAACATATGAAAGTGTGAGCTACCTTCCTCCACTGATCAGATGAGCGTCTGTGAGAACAAAGCGACAAACATCGCCCTCATGGCCTGAATAAATTTCAAATGGGCTTCGCTGAAGCTTCTTGGAGTCTTGGTGCAGATGATACGCTCCAATTTGAGCAGCCTGACACAAATAAAGTACATCCACATCCAGCTGAAGCCATGGCAACAATCTGAAAAGAAGACAAGTGAAACATTTAAAGATTGCACAACAAATAAGGAAATTTAGCTTTGGTTGATTTTTGTTGCTGTAACAAAGTAATTTATCTTAAACCGTTGGAAAGTCTGTTTATATCCCCTTAATTGTTGCCAAATGAGAAAAGAAAAAGTTTTTGTAGATGGAGCAGCAGTATGTTGACTGCAGCCATGACAAACTTGCTGAATCTTCTCTGCCAGTGCCAATACCAATAAAAATTATTAATAGACAACTAATGAAAATTAATCAGTGCTCTTGAATTTTGGTTCACCACAAGTAAAAAAAAAAACTAATGAAAGTGGCCTTGCTAAAAAAGATGGTAACTTTAACTTAATATTTTATTGAACACCTTTTTGAGGCAATAACTGCAATCAAGTGATTTCTACAACTTTCTCTGAGACCTCTGCACCTGCCGACAGGTAGGTGAAACAAATCTTTACATTATTATTATTATATTTTATTATTATTACTCAGGTCTCTCTTGTACGTAAATGAGTCCTCGTGGCTCAGAGGGACTAACCTGTTTAAATAAAGGTTGAATGAATGAAAATTATCTTTTTATTATCATTACAAATGACTCATTTACTGTTTTTACTGGAACTGTGTCTCGTTGTGTCTTACAAGCTTGAAGACACGTGTGATGGTGGGACACAGTTCAGCACGTTTCTTTGGTCAAATTATTTTCAGTTTTGTTCAGGGGTATCATTCTTGTTGTCAAGTCCAGTTTCATTGGTTTATTTTCAAAAATATATATATTTCTGGTCAACCAAAATTCAAAAGCAGTGACTGATATTCGTCAGCTGTTTTGTAGAAATGTTTCCTTTTATTGTTGTTATTGTTAGTTCAAGTTATTGTTGTTATTATTGTTAG